TTTTTTTTTTTTACCTATTTTCCACTTTTACAATCAAACGGACCCTCAAGGTAACCCTGAAAATGTTGTATGTCTATTAAAGAAATCTCTTTATGGTTTTAAACAAGCCCCGAGACAATGGTATAAAAGGTTTGATACCTTTGTTTTGAAACATGTTTTCAAAGAAACAATTATGATGTTTGTCTCTACTATAAGGGTAAAAGAGGTAAAAGTTCTTTGTATTTAGTTCTTTATGTTGATGACATGTTACTTGCAAGCTATAATAAATTTGAAATTGATAATATCAAACAGAAGCTGAAATCTAAATTTGATATGAAGGATCTTGGTTCAGCTAAGAAGATCTTTGGTATACAGATTTTAAGAAAAAGAGATAAGGAGAAATGTTATTTTTACATGAACATGATTATATGGTAAAACTTCTGAAAAGATTTAACATTTTAGACTATAAACCTGTTACCTTACCTCTTTCAAATCATTTTAAACTTTCATCTGAATATTATCCTAAAACTGATGAAGAGTTTGCTAGAATGTCTAAAATTCCATATGCAAATGTTATTGGATCTATCATATATCTAATGGTAAGTACAAGACCAGACATTGCTCATTGTATTAGTTTACTTAGTAGATTTATGAGTAATCAAGGTGAATAACACTGGAATACTTTAAAATGGCTTTTAAGATACTTGAAATGTACTTTAAATTTAGTTCTTGTGTTTAAAATGGACAAAAATGAATCATGTTAAAGGGGTTTTTTTATTCTAATTTTGTTGGGAGTAGAGATAACAGAAAATCCACTTCTGCTTATTTCGTTACTCTCTGTGATACTGCGGTAAGCTGAAAATCTCAATTACAAAAAGTAGTTGATATATCCTCAACTGAAGAAAAGTACATTGCTGCTTCTGATGCTGTTAAAAAAGGGATTTGGTTAAGTAGATTGCTAAATGAACTTGATTTTGTTGATAAAAATGCAATTTTGTATTCTGATGATCAAAGTGCCATACATTTAAGTAAAAATAATATGTTTCATGATAGGACTAAGCATATAGACATTAAATATCATTTCATTAGAGATGTTATATCAAAAGGAATTATGAAAATTGGTAAAATTCCTACTCAGGTTAATCCTTCTGATATGGGGACAAAGATAATACCTTTAAATAAGTTTCTTAACTGTTTGAAGTTGTTATCTATTGATACTATGTGATGTTATACAAGTACTTGGAGTAAATGAAAAATAACTGGTGATGTTTGCTCTTGGCTGCACTTGTTAACCCACTTTCTAGTAGCAAGGTGGAGATTGTAGAGGCTCGAACCTTTTATCTATGATGTGCTCCCAAAATTGGCTTAAAATCATGTTTCGTTGAACCCGTTTTTCTTAATGGTGCACTTATTATGAGATGGTGACACGTGGGTTATTTCTGGCCCTTTGATTATTGCATTGATGGTGTGAAATATATATACATGTACAATGAAAGATATTTTCATTTGATTCAGCCTTTTGAGTTCTTCGTCTTTTGGGTTCTTCTGAGAGTTCCCTTTTCTTATAGATTAGGGTTTGGGCCTTTTCAGATGTTTAGTAACACGACTGGATGATATTGTAGAAACGATTTTAACTTTAGTTTTACTTTCTTTATCCTCACCGATATCATCTAATCTACCTTAGAAAACATGCCATCAAAATATGCATAATCAGGAAGGTATAAATATAATTCCACTAAACATAACATTGTTAGGAACAACCATATGAAAATTCATTGAACTAGAATCTCACCACACTGCACAAAGCTACAAGGAGAATTCGACTCGTTAACAAACTAAATGATCGTACTCTGATTCCCGAGACATTGGGTTTGAAGACATTTCCTGCGTTGACGGAATGATGGTTTTATTTTCAGACGTTTTGCCCTAAATTTACGTAAAGAAAACCGGCGAGCTTTTGCAACGTTGTCATTGAACAAACCTGAGTCTCAAACCCTACTCAGTCAGCAATATTAAGGTAATGAACAATGTCAGATCAAAGGACAAACAAGCAAAGATCGGATCAAAGTAGGCGCCTTCTGAAGTTTCGAGTGGTTCCTTGGTAAGTTCGAACCAGCAACCCGACTCCTATTCCAACTCCAAGACAGATACTGAGCCCAATTCCAACGCCTACTCTTACTCCAGCATTGAACCATGATAACTCTCCGTCTTCGCCTCCCAAATACTCCATTCCAGGATACAGGGTGCAATAATCTTCCTCTTCTGGTTTGTAATTTGGGTGATGGTTTGCCTGCAGAATGAATTACTGACAAAAAGTAAGATGCATAATGCAAAATTAAATTTGGAAACTTGGCAACATTTTAAACTAATCCTATCCCAACTTGCAAAAGATTTTGGGTCAAAAAACTAATTAGATACCATTTATCCCAGTATCTAAATAGTTGTATCAACAGGAAGTGGAAATGAAAAAGTCGGCAGCCCGGCCGGGCATATGGAAGTTCCAAATTCACCGGGAAATCATATTTCCAATTTATGTTCTACATGGACACAGCTTGCAATATAAGAATTTATTAGTTACTAATGGTAGTCTATTCATTCTCCTTTGCAATATGAACAATTGTGTATTTAGCTTAAGTTCTCGACTGTGCTATAAATCAAGGATTAACACATAAAAGACGCCATTTAATACAAGTTAATGAATCAATTCACAATATTTTATATCATCTATGTGAGATCTTGTTAATAGTAATACCAACATCATACAAAAACAAAAGGGGTGATGTGCTGTAATATTCTTGTACTTAGAAATATGTGCCAGCCTCATGCTTTTCTGAACATTCCAGGATAAGTTTCTAATGTCCCTGTCAAAATTTGTGGGTACCAAGAAGATTGCTGAAAGAAATTTTTATTCTTTGCAGGATCAGAAATTACTACATGTAAAACAAAGAATTACCTGCATTGCGAGACCTGAGGAACCCTCTTCTTGGCTTTCAGTGGCCTCGTATTCTGGTATTGATTCCAGCATTCCTGTCCTTGTTTGCTTCTTCCTATGACTAAGTTGCACAGTTTTAGTCAATATAATCGGACTACCCAAGAAACGACCAGCAACATAAACTTCAATGCTAGGGGTAGAGGATGACTCCAAGCCAGTATTTTGATTTCCTTTCAAAAATCCCGAGCTTGCTATTGTATCTGATATACAATCCATGCTCCAACTTAGCCCTTGATTTCTTGAATCCCCAATAAATGCATTGCTATTGCTATGACACAATTCTAACGTTCCAGATAGCACGAGAACGCCTTTATGTAAAACTTCGAATTTCACACTGCCTGTCATTCTGATGCTATCAGTACTTACAAATGTAACTTCTTCGGATTTCTTATCTAACCTATCTCGTTTTAGAAGGGTTGATGCACCATCCGAATATATGCTAGTCCTCACACCATTAACTTCTAGAAGGGTATCACGATTTAACGGCACATGGTTTAACGTAAGATGCTCAGGAGTCGAATCATCATCAATCACACATTTGCTAAGTCTAACATAAAAGACTCTTAAATCAAGCCAAAGTAAAGATGCTTTCATGCCTGGCTGGTAAGAGGAGTGCCTCATAGGGGTGTGCCCATTTTCTGCAACTCCATTTTCATTCAATTCTTCATCAGAATTCTCAATATTTCTCATTGAAATCAACACTTCCTCTTCATTGAAATCCATGAGGGCTCAATTGATTTTCTGGCTTGAGAAATCCCTTAAAAGAGAGATTCATATCAGTCAAGATAATCTGTAAAAATGCAGAAATGTGAAAGTGATCTACAATATGGGTTTCACACATTTAATTAAGAATTTTCCACTAGGAAAAAAAAAATTAACTCCACAAGAAAGGAACAGAGAGAGCCCTTTACAGGAGAGGTGAACGAAGATACACGAAAGAAAAAATTGTAAGAAAAGTTGCAAGTGCTGTTGCAAAATCTGTATTCTTATTGAATTAATAAAACAGATAAAAATCAAAAACCAGCAGCCACCTTAGCGGAGAAAACACTGGAAACAAGGAGATAAAGTAGAGGCATGAATAAGCAGCAAAACTTATGAAAGAAAATTCCAAAACAAAATCGAAAACCAACAAAATTGGTAAGAAAAAACTCATCTAATGCATACTTGATGCCTTGTACACGTTACATACGCAGTAATGAACACGATTAGACCTCAAAATAACAAGATTTCGACGAGAGTGAATCAGAGACTTCTATATTAAAATATGAATAAAAGGTGAATTTGGAACAGAAAATAGACAGCAAAATAAATGCAGAACCAGAGTAAATTACCAGCAGTTTCTGCAAACAGAATAGGAACACTGAAGAAAAATTCCGTGATTTAATGTTATACTATGTTTCGTCTTTAATGGGATTGAAGAATTAAAAAAGGCCATTATTGCGCCATAAAACTGTGATCAGACATCAGATGAGAGATGAAAACAGACTGCGACAAAATTCCGAGCGCCAGAACACTACAGTATATCTTCTCCAACAATATCACACAAACAAACAAAACTCTCTCTCTCTCTCTCTCTCTCAACACCACCCCACCACCCAAATGTGTATACATATACATGTTTTGGGTTTGATTTATCATTGACATGCTAGCAAGGTAAATGATGTAAAGAATTTGTGTGCTAGCTTGCACTTAGCCCGTTAAAGTTCTATGATTGCACATCTCATCAATAAAATACTTTTTAAAATGTAAATTCAAATTTTTTTTCCTACTCTTAACCAATGTCATCTAAAAATTACTATTACAAAATCTATTTTCCAAAAAAATTGGACTCGGACCCTTAATTTGATTTGATGACTTATTTGAGCATAAATTGTATGATGGGCTTGATATCCAATTAAATCAACGATTAATTTCAGTCACACATTCATAATTATATATTTTGTCAAATGGTGTGTAGCTCATACCTCTAATTATTTTCTTATTTTAATATTATTTTTAATTTTTAATCAATTTAAAAATTATTTAATAATACATACAAATTATAGTACCAAATATAGTTTGTTTATTTTTATTTTCCCATTTCTTTATTTTAGTAACAAATAACATGCCATAAATATAATTTATCGATTCAATTATTATAACAAATCGGATCAGATTGTTATCTGATCAGATGATTATCGATAATGAGAATGTAATGGCTGTGAAAAGATTGAAGGATTTGAAGAAAACAAACATTTTTTTTGGATAACTTGTTTTGACAATTTTACCCATCAATTAAGATGTCATTTGAGTTAAAATTACTGTTTCAACGTTAACTTATGATTTTATGGACGGAATGCGTGAAATAGACCAACGCTGTAATTATATATAAAGGTTTGGGATTTCGACCGCAAAAATCAAAGGTTTGTGTGTAATTTGCAACAAAATGAAAGGTTTGGGACCAGCGCTGCAATTTTTTGGAGTCAAAATTACTGTTGAAACGTTGACTGACGATTTTATGGACGGAATTAAAGACTTGGGATCGACGCTGCAACTACATATAAAGGTTTGGGACTTTGACCGCAAAAATAAAAGGTTTGGGTGTAATCTACAACGAAATGAAAGGTTTGAAACCACGACCGCAATTTTCCCTAAATTTAACGTACCTAAATATAGACATTGCACAAGTAGACAAGCCCATATATATATAATATATTTGCTATTTTTTGTAAATGATTCATTTTTCTTAAATACTATCATTTATCAACTATACATAATTAAACACTAAGTGTTGGTTGTGATTTTCATTAGATTTTTTGCAAAATCCGATCATTTGTACGTTATCCATTCAATTAAAACATTAAGACATGCACACTTATAACCGATTGGAATGTTTAATCCCAGTAAGTAAATTTGTCTTTCCACATTCGCTCTTAATAAGGCATGTAAAATGATCATTTTGCCCGTTATTGCATATCCCAAAACGACCCAATTTATTTTCTCGTGTGATCAAAATTTTGGCGAAATCTGATAATTTGAAAGTGTTTCATTCAATTAAAACATAAGAAATATAGACTCATTCATAATTGATTAGAATTTTAATCCCATGCATCAGTAAATTTATCTTTCCACTTTCACCCTTGAGTAGTCATGTAAAATGACCAATTTGTCCCTTATTGCATATCCCAAAACTACCCAATTTATTTTTTCTTGTGTGATCATAATGAATGGACATATTGGTCATTTATACTATAATTGGTTGCTAAGATGATAGGCTAGAAGTCAACAATTTCGTCATTAAACTGTCAACACAATGTAAATTATTTCTTACTGAACCCACGCTTTGACGCCAGATTGTCCATAATTTGCTAAAGATTTGCACCATATAACGTTAAATCGTTTATACACGCTTTTCAAATCTATTCTAACTTTTTGAATGACTGAACTTAATACAAATATCTCACGGAGAAAAAATTAGTAAGAATGGGGCCCATAAGGATCTAGTATTCCTCAAATCTTATCTGATGTGCTGCATCCAAAAAGAAATTAAATAACGTTTTAAATATATTTAACGTTAGATGCATTTTTATATTACTCCTATATCAAAGGAATCTAAACTACTTAATAATTAAGGAAAACTAATAAAATTTATCCTAGGTTGCTAAACCAGTTTTTCGTGTATGACAATTAATGGACAAAGATACATAAGCAAATCTACACGTACAGAAATGGAGGCAATAGAAACGGTACAGAACACTCACAACAGCAGGGTGGGGTCAATTTTTTGCAATATTGTATTCATGTGGGATCCACCTTCCATGTGAGATTTCTGGTAATTCTCTGTGAACTGCGTTCTGTACGTATGGAAAAATTCAAGATACGTAGAGAGAGTGACCAACTTGAAATGAATAATTAAATATTTTAAGCTTTTATTCGTTATTAATAAATTATAACTATTTATCACATGGTTCATAAAATATATTTGCGGCCATCACTCGATTGTACACATTCAATACATGTTGGGCTGTTAGCAGCCGGTCCAAAATATTCGTGTTGGGTTCTGAAAATCGGGGTACAACGTGGAATTCAATTAATACATGAACAAACTTGAAATTCCATTCTCTTTCACGTGGAATACATACTGGGGGGATTCAAATTTCTGAATTTTAGTTTGCATTCAATACTTTTATTATTATTATTATTTTAAATAACAGCTTTTTCCTTAATAAAAAATTGTGTTGCGGACTATTTTTAATTATTGTTATTTTCGTTTGGTAAATTATGAAGAAATTACGAGTGAATTTCTTTTGAGAAATGGATACCAAGAGGCGAGGCGAGGCGGGGCGGGGCGGGGCCCTCAACGTTGGGGTTCGACCTTTAAATTAGAATTTCAAATCTTATTTTTCGTAACATTTGAAAAGTACTTATATTTAGAGTGTGTTTGGAAGTACATTTTTTCAAAGTTTAAAAGCAATTTCTGAAAATAAAAAATTATTTTGTTTAAAATAAGATGGTGTTCAGGAGAGGTTTTAAAAGCCTAAATGCTCTACTTCTGAAGAATGAGAAACCACGATCACAATGTAAAAAGATTTAGAAATCCAGCCCTATTTACCCCCCAAAAAAAGTATCATTACTATATAAAATGTCTCAAAATAATCCTTCCTACTGTAAGTGCCACATTTTTTTGTAGGCTGAAAATATTCAATACCACCATTTTTAATGATTACACTACATTTTCATTACGGGTCCGTTTGATTGCAAATGTGAAAAATGAGTGGAAATAAAGTGTTTTACTAGGAATTGAATTGTCTAGAATTCGTTTTACTGGGAATTGTAATTAATTGTGTTTGATTTGTATAATTTTTCACCTGAAAAATGTTGAAAGTTTGGTGTACGTTTGACTTTTTTTTTCATGAACATTGTCAATTAAAGTCATAATTTTTTCTACCATTGGGTCTAAAATTTGTTCCAATTGCCAAAATGAAAAAAAAAAATTAAAAATTATCATACCGAATAACATTCGTTTGGCTTTGTTTTACATGAAATTTGTCAATAAAAGTGATAATTTTTTTTACCATTATATTTAGAAATTTTTCTAATTGCAAACAAAAAAAAAAAAAAAAGGAAAGCTGGAAAATGAAAAACCAACCAAACCAAAGGAAAACCAATTCCTTTCACGCATAGAAAATGGGCGCGTGAGTGGGTAGAAGTGAAAACCAATTCTAGGGAAAAAGCAACCTATCAAACACAACAAAAAGGTTGAATTGAAAAACTTTTTCCATTTTCTAGGAAAAAAGCAACCTATCAAACACAGCCTAAGAGCATCTTTGGCTAAGCTTATCCTCTAGAAAGGTAACTTTTAAGCTTATCGAAAAGTGTTCTAAGAAAACATAGGAAAGTAAAGCAATAGAGAGGTAAACCTTCTCTTGAAGTTGCTTGATCACAAGAATAGCATCCGACTCCCTCAAACTTTTATTTTCATCTGGAAGAGATATATCATTTGTACTTCGTGTAGTACTGTCTTTATATTTCCCATCCACATACAGATCAGCCTCGGCAAGCATCCTCGTTAAGTAGTCAATTTTAATATCACTCATTGTTCTCTATAAAGAAAATGGTTAATAATACAAATTTGTAATGCAATTGTCATTGAAACATAAAAGTAGGAAAAACTAACGTGAGTTTCAAACTTTGACAGCAAATTTTCATATTCGGTTTGCAATTCTGCCAATTCATTATTCTCCTGCGAGAGAAACAATTAGTCAGTCTCAAAATACATCAAAAATGTAGAGATAAAAGAGGTAGAAATATGATATAAACCATTTGTAAACTTCTCTTTCTGGGCGGAGCCTTTCTCCTGCTGGTAACATGCAGCAAAGCCTATGGATCAGGAAGACTGCAATCTTCCGACACATTTTTCTCACAATCTACTTCTTGCTTGCTAGAGTCAACCATGATTACTTCATTAACTAACTCTTCAAAGGGAAGAAGAGGCGCAGCTTTGCAATGTGCTCTTGTTGACTTCACGACGGAAGGCATCTCTTTGACAGTAGAGCGCAACTAAAGCACCAAGTATGTTTGAAGAATGAAATAAGAATTTTCTGTATTTCTTGATTGAATTGTACACATCTATTACACTCTAATTATAGTACAACAATAAGAAGGAAAAAATAATCTTCTAATTTCAAATACAAGAAATTAGCCTAACAATCAACTTAAGTTATGGAAATATTTAATCAATTATATATCAATCATGATTAATCATGATCAATCAAATATCAGTCATGATTAATCCCTAGAATTTCTACTCTCTCTCTTAAGTTAGATCGTAAATATTGACTATAGCCAACTTGCAGATGAAATCATCAAAATTGTGCCTTGGTAATCCTCTGGTGAAGATGTCCGCATTTTGTTCTTTTGTAGGAACATAGATCATACAAATAACTCCGTTTTCCACCTTTTCTTTGATGAAATGGCTATCTACGTCTACATGCTTAGTTCGGTCATGTTAAACGGGATTGAGAGAAATATTAATGGCATCTTTGTTATAACAATAGAATTTGATTGATAATCTTGCAGTGACCTGTAGTTCTTTTAAAAGTTTCTTTAACCACAATCCTTCACATATCCCTTGTGCAACAGCTTTGAACTCCACTACTTCTGACTACTAGATTTCTTACTTCTCCAAATAACTAAGTTTCCCCATACAAAAGTGCAATATCCAGCAGTAGACCTTCTATCCTTAGCTGAACCAGCCCAATCAGCATCTGTAAAGATCTCCACTTCCCCTCTTTCACATCTCTTGAAAAATAGACATTTACCTGGAGTCCCCTTGAGATAACTTAGTATCTTTTACACAGTTTCTAGGTGAGCTTCTTTTGGCGAGTGCATATATTGGCTTACCACACTTACTGCAAAGGTAATATTAAGTCTAGTATGTGACAAATAGATTTGTTTACCAACAAGCATCTGATACCTTTCCCTTTCAACTGATTTTCCTGCACCTTCTGTCCTTCCGACTTCAATAAGTGTCACTTGACTTACAGCCGAGCATGCCCGTTTCAATTAAGAGGTCAAGGACATATTTTCGCTAAGAAACATTGATCCCTTTCTTCGATCTAGCCACTTCCATTCCTAAGAAGTACCGCATTCGTCCCATATCCTTAACTTCAAATTCAATGGCTAATACCTCCTTTAATCTCTCCATCTCCTCGATATTATCTCTAATTAGGATAATGTTGTCCACATATACAATCAAAATTGTCTTCTTCCCATTTTTCTGATTGTAGAACATAGTGTGATCTAATTGTCCCTAACAATAACTTACCCTTTTTATCACCTTAAAAAATCTATCAAACCATGCTCTAGGAGACTATTTGAGTCCATGCAAGGACTTCTTCAACTTATATACTTGGTTTTCTTCTCCCTTTTACAGAGACCTAGAGATAGTGTCATGAAAACCTCCTCTTCTAGTTCGCCATTCAAGAAAACATTCTTTATGTCGAGGTGTTGAATTGACCAATCTAGGTTGGCGATCGAGGAAACTCAGACTGTGTTCAACTTAGCCACGGGTGCAAAGGTTTTTGTGTGGTCAATGCCATAAGTTTGAGTAAATCCCTTCGCAACAAGACAAGCCTTGTACCTCTCCACCATCCCATGAACTCTGTAATTCACTGTAAACACCCATTTACAACACATTGCTCTAATCCCATGTAGCAAATTCGTCACCTCCCAAGATTCATTTTTTTTCTACGCCTTCATTTCCTTCATCACTACTCTCCACTCAGAAATCTCCAATGCCTCCTGGATATTCTTAGGGATTTTCACACTATCAAATTAAGAAGTAAAAGCACGTTACTCTGTAGACAATGTATTGTGGGACACATTTTTTAAATGGGATGATGAACGAGGTTGTTCTCTGAGTGCAATAGGCAAATCAATATCATCAAGTTTAGGAGTAATAGAGAGGTTATATCACCTGATTTGACCTAGGGAAAGACTCTTGGTTGTGCGAAGCTACCATCCATTCAGACTCAATCGATACCTCGGGTGTGAGATTCTCATTAGGCCTCGATTTTGGCTTTCATGAGTAACCCAGTACCTCTTTTTCTGTTGTTTTTCTACACATTCCTCTGAGTGTAAGTTTCTTTCTATAACCGACAAAGGAGTGGAGGATGATGACGGTGTTTTGGGCAAAAAATGAAAGAAAATAGTCACCAGCCGAGTGGTTCAAGATTCGAGATTCACTTAAATTTTCCCCCTGATTTGAGNAAATATATTTTAATTAAAATTAAAGTCTAACAAAGACCCACTAGTTGAACCACTATCCTTGTGACCTGAAGATTTTTCCGAGTCGAGTGTCAGATCATGTCTAATAATTATGTTTATAACTATTACTACTCATTATTATCAACGGATTTCATGGGATTCACTAATATTAATCTATTATTTTCTTTATAAGGCATTTATAAATTTACAAACGGAGGCTTAACTATAAATTTCCCAGTAAAAATTATTTTTCGTTATCATAATATAAAATATAGCTCTTGTTTGGTGGGACTGAAATCAGATTTTAGAAAATTTTAATAGAAGTTCGTGAAATGTGTGATTGAAAAAGTTGTGAAACTGATAAAATATGTCACTAAATTAATTGTTGATCTTGAAAATTAAAGTCTAAATTTTAATCCCTACTAAACGAGGCATAGAGGGTAAAATGTAAACTTAGAAAATAAGGTAAGCAAAGCGTGTATATATTCTATATATAATATAGGGTGTGTTTTGTGAGCTTCAAAAATCCGTCGATCTCGTGGCCAACAACACTCCACCCGCCTCCTCTTCAACCTAGATTCAAACTATATATTGTACATTGCTTTAGTTATAAAATTCAAGGGAAAATAGGAGAAGGGGAGTGACTAGAAGAAGTAAAAACTTGTATTGGGCCAAAATGGACAGTAGAACTAATGGATCAGGCCCAAAGCCAAGATGAGCCTAATTAATCCAATCGATCAATCCCTTTGAACTAATAAATGCTAAGCTATCCAACCGTGGGACCCTCACCCACATGCAAGCTATGCCATTTTTGGGAGTCAACAAATAGTCCCTCAAGTATAAGCCTCATATTCATGTGCAGGTCGAACTTAGGATATAAGCCACACGAGCTTGAATTTCTTCGAGGAGATGAGACCTCATACTGTGGCATCACAAGATGCAATATTGTGAGTTTGCGAACCGAACTTAATGATACAAGGCTCTGTAGTTGAGCTTCTAACACTATAATTTCTAAAATTTCGACAACATTTTCTCTAAAATATGGACCACATCATCTTCAAATCAATACAACATCTCAAATATGACAAAATACAATACAATATCTCCATTACAATCGACTAAAATACGATACAACATCCCCACTACGCATATACAAATACTTGGGGCCCATTGGCTCATTCAAATGCTCATAAAGTGAAGTAATAATCAATCATATTTTCTTAAAACACAATATGAAAAGCCTATCATTCATCATATTAAATTGATATGTTTGCATAGTAGATGATTTGTTTGTAACAAAGGTGCTATGTTTGCACATTTAGATGTTTTGTATGCATGATTTCAAAGTAATAGTGTCTTTTGTGCGAAGCGAACGACATGTAAAGTTACCTTTATGTACGCAACAAATAGTAATGAAATGGTTTTGTATGAGTGCGTTGCAATAAAACCATTAATGTTACTGACTCAAGCTTCTCTCTTTTTATCGAATGATTATTGATAATTGTCGATAATATAATTAATAATATCGTCATTCAATTGATTTACATGTATACTATTGAAATCTAAGTTGAGATCTAAGTTGAGGATACCTCAATTTTTAAGTATTCTAAAAATCTAAATTGAGGACACCTAAATTTTAGTAAATTATATTTTAATTTGAGTTGAGGACATCCTAATTTGCATAAAGTTTTAAAATCTACTAAACTCTCATTTGAGGATATGAGGAGCGTATATTTGTTATTTCACAAGAATTTATTGAGCAAATGAATTAAAATATTGTATTCTTCATAGAAAATGTCATATGGGGGTTTTCTGCCAAAACAAAAGGATGGGGAGCATTCTACAATTGAGGCAAAGAATAGGGGTGTTTTGTGCCAATTATCCCTATAAATACGGAGTTAAAGTGATTATTGGAATAATTTAAGGGGGCGGAGTGAAATTTATCAAAATAGTAATACGCATTCCTTCACCGCCTGTGACCGAGGCTGGTATCAACATATTTGTAGCTATTTCCCGATCGATTCCGCGAGTTAGTAGTCTCGGCACCTCACTCACTGAATCTGCAACGGCATAAATGGCCTCCATTTTAGCTCGCAAATCCGTTTCTTCTCTTCGCTCTCGCCAGCTCGTAAGCCCTCCTGTCGATTTACTTTTTTATTTTTACAGGTTTTTACGTTTTCAGAGTCAGACGATTTGGAAACCCGAACTCTCTATTTTACGATCTAATTACTGTTGCAATGAGGAATTTTTGGAGCTGGAGCTGCTGGCTTTTCTTGCCCCAATAAAATCTTATTTTTGTATTCAAGGATCGGTGGATTAGGTTAAGATTAAATTAGAGAATTTGAAACTCCTTAGATGCTTTGTTTCAGTAATTTCCGTATCGGATGGAATTTTTTTTATCAAGTGTTGTGGCAACTGCTTATCTGTTATTTTCTCATACACTCCCAATAAGTTGGAAAAAACCTATCAAATTAGCAATCTCCCAGAATCAAATCATGCAATCTTTGTTTTTGGATATACAAGCTTTTGTTATTAGTTTTCAGAGAAAGTGCTAGTATCTCTTTCTTGATGCACGTGACATTTCTGTTGGATCTTTTTCTACTCTTAACGCTACTTGTATTCTCCGGTAGATATTCTATACTAAGTACTTGTTCTCGGGGAACATATAAATGTAGGCTCTGGCAGGGCAAGCATTGCAGGGCTTCAACCATTATGGATCAATCTATGGTGAACGCTCATTTGCCACCAAGCACTCATTCTCTACCGACAAAGGTGTGCTTTTAAGAGTTTGATTTTCTACTTTCTTGAATACGATAATACCTCTATGGACTTACTGATGGACATGTGCCAAGGTAATGTGGTATGTTCCAACTTCTGAGTAGCAAATACTTTTGCCGGCTTAGGGATGATAATTTCAGTTGCAACTCGTGGTTCATTTTACCTATGGTCAAGTGGATTTTTTCATGGTTTTATATGTGGAATTAAGATGGCTTTATATATCCCAATTCCTTATCCAATTTTCTAATGCTTTTCAGTAAACTGAAGTTGCTGTTGAACTCTATTCTTGTACTATTGTTCTTTTAGAGTACATTAATTACACTGTAGTAAGGTTCCATATTGTATTAAATATATCATAGTGTTTTGTATGAAACTATATGCTACATAATTAACATGGCATCTAAAATATGATATAGTGTTTTTAGGGTCCATTGCCAATTTGCCATTAGCCTCCTCTGGCCAAGCTAGAACATTTGTATGTGCTTATATAGCCAGTAACGTTGCAAGGTTTGAAATTAAATAATTACTAATTAATACAGTAAAATCTAGAAATTAGAAATGGGTACCGGGGAAAGTTTTCTTGCTAGTAAGATAATATTCTGGAAAGAACAAGATCATCAGCTACAAAGATGGTTGCTACTGAAAAAAATAGGTTCAAGATTATTGTTGCTGTAGGTTGGCTTCACCATGCTCGTCACTTGTCCATTAAAATAAAGCAGTTTTTCTCATTATTGGAAAAATTGGGTAGACATTTATGTGGGACGTAATTTAGTTAGTATATTTTTTATTAGTATGCAGAATTCATAGGGTTATTTAGATTGCAACAAGCCTGCATCGGTTAATTCAACGTGCCTCTTTGACTCCATCAATTTATGAAATGCATTTCCTGTTTCATTGAGTACCTGTTTGTTTGTTGGAAACCTTTATGAGATGCTCACTTTCTACATATTTTAAGTAATTTTGGTTTATTTTTAATGCAGATGATGAAGAAAGAGAACAGCTTGCAAAGGAGATCTCAAAAGATTGGAATTCTGGTAGAGGCATTTTAAGATCTTTAACTTTGTCAATGTACTTGTTGTTCTATATATTCTCTTCTGTGTGCAACTATAACCCTGGTCTTTGCTAACGAATTGCAGTTTTTGAGCGGAGCATAAACACATTATTCCTTACTGAAATGGTTCGCGGTCTGAGCCTGACACTCAAATACTTCTTTGAGAAGAAAGTTACAGTATGTGTCCTTGTTTTGCTTCTCTTCTCTTTTTATTTTTCCACTTCTCATTTTGAAGTGAACAGTATATTTATTTGTTTTTAGTTTAACATTACCTCTACCACCTTCCCCTTGCTGCTGCTTCTACTCCTTTCGTCTTTTTTTCATTTTCTCTTTTGGAGTAAGCCCTTGAATGAAATCCACCGCAAGTATTTGATTCATTGTCAAAGATCTATGTTCATTTCCTTCATTTCCCAAGTGAAATCGCTTACTTTATCATTAGTTTTTCTATGGAGGGTGGTAGGGTTTTAAAGTGGCTAGTTATTGAACTTTAGCAACACCAGTCATGAGCCAGAATGTGGTCTTGTTTGTGCCATTGAATAGATTGAAATCTGAATATATTATCATTATGCAGATCAACTATCCATTCGAGAAGGGCCCTTTGAGTCCTCGTTTTCGTGGAGAACATGCACTCCGACGATATCCAACTGGAGAGGAACGGTGTATTGCCTGCAAACTGTGCGAAGCTGTAAGGGCTCTATACATTAATGTAAATTTTATCCACTTGATGTTTTTTACTCGGTGCATATCATGTTGCTATGGTAAACATCTTAACATTAGGCCTAGATATGCACCAGCCTGTGTTATAAACGGTTAGGTTACATGTGCATCTAAAAGAATGTTTGAGAAGTATTTATAAATGGTTTAGTTTATAAATTTATTTTATAAGTAGATAGAAATGAGTAGTGAATAAGTAGGTAGTACTTGTGGGTACTTCGAAATGTATGGATAAAAAGTAATTGAGTGTTTATAAACAGGTTTTAAACAAGAGCCAAACATAGGCTAAGTTTCTTTTACCTCAATTTTATGCCAGTACTTGGTTAGCTTGCTGCTGCAGCATGTTAATGAGCATCGGTTTATTCGATGTAATTTTGCTCCTTGACAGATTTGCCCCGCCCAAGCAATCACCATTGAAGCCGAGGAACGAGAAGATGGGAGCCGCCGGACAACCAGGTAAGAGGTTTGTTTTCCATGCTTGCTTTTCCTCTCGGTCTGCCCCTAGCATCTCATTCTATTTGACGTTTTGAATTCATCAGGTATGATATCGACATGACGAAGTGCATTTACTGTGGGTTTTGCCAAGAAGCATGTCCTGTTGATGCCATTGTTGAAGGGCCCAACTTTGAATTTGCTACTGAAACTCACGAGGTTAAAACTTCTCACTAAATAGCTGAACTAACCATTGCTAATCAAACATCGGAGTAAATAACTAATTTGTCGTTGCAACAGGAACTTCTTTATGACAAGGAGAAGCTACTCGAGAATGGTGACCGATGGGAAACTGAAATTGCTGAGAACCTGAGATCTGAAAGCTTGTACCGTTGAGTCTATGAGTCATTGTTAATTTGAGTTAAACGTGATTTTGGGTCCTCGTGATTTTGAATATTTGCTAAATAAGGGGATCTATTTATCATTTGTATCTTCTTTGTTACTTCCATTTTGCCACAATAGTTGTGTAATTTCTTGTTTGGAACATCAGTCATGTATAAGAAAGCATGTGAAATAACTTTCCTTGTGAAGTGAGGTTCACTTGACTTACATAATGGTCGGATTAATTTTTTTTTTTTTTTTTTTTAATGAATGGTTTTGTTTCTTTACATTTTTGATATATTTTAGTGAGTAATACCCACAAATCTTGATTATAACTTTCCAATCATTTCTATATATTTATAATTTAAATTGCTTATCAACACTTTTCAATGATGTAGAGTAATGATATTTAAATCATCGATGATATGACAACTCATTATTTCTCACATTCCTCTCTGCCCTTTCTCTCTCTCATATAAATTGAACTATTTAATCCTATTATTCCATATAGACTGCCACATCACCGATGATTTGTCATCATGATGATAAACATCATTCTTAATGTAAGAAACTGTCATGGAATCAACCAACTTGCGTATAGGAAACTTCTCATCTATTAAACTTTTGAGATATCTTGCCGGACTGGCTCCGAAAATTGCCTTCTGCTTGACGTGCTTTTGGTGATAGTGCCATTACATTGGGATTAAGCTATTTGTATACATTGGTTGACAGATTGATGAGTTGGAAGTGTTATATTGATTGAATTAAGGGCTTGTCTGTTACTGATTATTTGTTCAAAAAAAATCAATTTTGTAGCCGTTTCTTTTTAGCTAATGGGACCCATTTGTGAGATAGGAAGTCAAATAAGTTTTGCTGCCTCCTATTCCAATGATCACAAAAGCAATGAACATTTTGCAAGGAATCAGAAACAGACAAGCCCTAAATGTGTGGGATGTGAAAGATGATATGAGATTGTGCTTGTGTAAATTCGATAAGTCAAAAGTAAATCAAGATGTACAAGTAACAAGGCTCTTTACATTGAGGCAATGGGCCTCTCTTCTTATTGGGCCTCAATCAATTAAATTCGGTTCTTGGTTAGAGGGCAGCCCATATTAACTGTAATATGAAATCCTGTGCGGGGAAATCATTTTGAGCTTGCTACTTTCCCGAATTTATACAGTTTTCTCCCGCCGGTGGTGACAGGTATATTCCGCTCTCTTTTTTCTGCAAAGATATAGCCGCTGTTTTGGAGGTATTAAAATCAGATTTTTAGTAGATTTTGATAAAAATCGATGAAATTTGTGATTAAAAAGTGGTGGAAGATGTGGTTAAATTTAATTGTTGTCTTTGATTAATTACGAGTTTTTAATCTATACGAAATGGGTTAGTCTTTCTAAACATTTTCTTTAAGAAATCAATAACCAGGCTTATGGGCCTTTGATAGTTTTGTCTGCTTTTGCTTGTAAACTGTTTGATGTAATGCCTGAAATAAAAATCTTGAAACAATGATGGTTTTGGGTCGGTTACAATTTTGAAACGTTCAAGAGATATGTGGATTATTCCTCTTGGCAGATTTTTTCCTCTTTCTTTGATTTAATCTAGAAAGTAAACATCATATCTGAAAAATTGTGGATTACTACTAATTTCTTGATCCACATTGTATTGTGTCCAAAACTGTTATCTGAATGCATCCGATTAGGTGGGGCTACACCAGTGGTCACTAAGCCTGTAGCGAAATTTTATATTCGTCATGAACTTTATTTTGTTTGAAGCTCATCACTAGATTTAAACTTCGATTCAATTTGTCACCTATACACGTCTATTTATTTGACTAACGGAATAGTGATATGACAGTCCAACTAGACTACCATGTCAGATTTTTCCTCAAGTCAGACTAAGGGATATCTAAGTTCAATAATCAACTTGCAATACAATGAATTGTTGTGACCAAGTGCAGATTAATACCTCTGGTTATATGGCTGATATATTTTGTTGTATTCATTACTATTTTAATTTCTATACATATGTTGAACATATTATTTGATGTACTAAACATTTTCTATCCAGGTTCGCTCTTCTGACATTGTAAGCAATATGATAAATATAGGGAAGTTACTGCATAAAAGCCAGTCAAGTATCAGGGATCTGATTACCAGTACACCTGTTTACAGTTCTGCCATTGGTATGAATATCGCCTTGCATTTCTTTGAGTAGGATGTTAATTTTTCTAAGTTGGATAATAATTCAATTACTCGTTTTAGATGCATCTGGAGAGGGTTTGAGCTTGACATTCAGACGCTGGGCTACCAAAAAGACGGCAGGATCCACAAAAAATGGACGTGACTCACTTCCAAAGAATCTTGGAGTGAAAAAATTTGGTGGAGAAGTGAGAGGATGAAAATTTCGACTATAATTTCAGTTATATTGTGATTGGTGTATTTTCATTGTCCAGCCGGCATCCACCCCTCCCCAAACACGCGCTTATTCTTCATTTTATCTAATGCAATGTCGGTCATTTATGTGGTGCAGAGAGTGATACCTGGGAACATCATTGTTCGTCAAAGGGGAACGCGTTTCCATCCTGGAAATTATGTTGGAATCGGGAAAGATCACACTCTCTACGCTTTGAAGGAAGGTTGTGTCAAGTTTGAGCGCCATAAATTGAGCGGACGCAAGTGGGTGCACGTTGAGCCGAAAGATGGACATGAAATCCATCCTGCCTATGCAAGTGCTGATTCGAGTCTCGAGATGAAGACAGCAGCTTAACTACATTTCATGTCATATTTACGTACGCAGCTAGCTTTTTGATAGGGTTCATCCATCAAGTAAGCAGACAGTGGTTATATTTTCTCTGCTATGTGTTGAAAGCTACATAGCTTTGTCGTCTTCTCGTTTTTCAGATTATTCCAACATTTTTATAGTTTCACAGATGAACTGGTGTTGCAGTTGCAATCTTTTGTCCGATTCTTTTCTTTTATTTCAGTATCCTAGATTACATATCAGTTATCAGGCAAACAGAGAGAAATCGAAGCATAAACCTGAGAAAATATCATCCCATCTGCATATTCAATTTATGTACATGATGCAAAGAAGTTCACCGCAAATACATTCCGTAGCTTCTAACATGATCATATTGAATGTCTTGAAAATGCCCAACAATGAAGCTCGCGATGGGAACACTATTATTGAGGGACAAAGACTTATGGGAAGTGTTTAATTTAGTAAAACCAGTGTGGGAAATGTGCAAACTTGAGCCATTAGCTACTGCAACTTCACTTTCACCTTGATAAGGTTCACTGATTTGGAGGTTGCGAAGGTCAGCCGTAATATGATTGTTAGCACCACTGTCAGCGAGCCAATACTGGTTTTCAGGAGTGGTGTCATGAGTTGTAGTAGCCATTGCAGCAAGTTGAGCTGGAGGATGCCGTCCCTTATATGCAAAGTCCATCCTGTGATAACAATCAATAGCTAAGTGACCAAGTTTGCCACAAATTTGGCATTGATGGCGATTGGGATTCGGTGAGGAAGAGTTTGCAAATTGAGACTCTGGTCATATCAGTTTTCTTGATATGGGAATTCTGATTGGTCTTGAAAGATCCTCCAGGGAAAGGCTTTCTGTTGGAGTGAGGATTGTATTTCTTTTGATGGGAGTATAAGGCAAAGCCTCCTGATTCTGAGACAGCATTGTGATTATTCACCATAAGTTCATAATTGAGTAATTCTGTCTGAAATTCATCAAAGGTAAGTAAAGTTTGGCGAGTTGCAAATGAATAAGAAGTAACAAATGCATGAAATGAAGGATTTAAGCCACTGATCAAATAGGATATCAGATCATCCTCATCAACAGGCTTTCCAACAATAGCCAATTGATCAGCCAAGGATTTAGCAGCCTGAAGAAAGTCACTGTAGGATTTTGAGCTTTGCCGCAGTGTTTGAAGCTGTCTCTTAAGATGAGCTACTCGAGATTTGGATTGAGAGGCAAATCGAGAAGCAAGTTGACTCAAAACTTGTTTTGAAGTGGTAAGTCCATAAACAGAGGACAAAACAGTTTCAGGGAGTGTTGCATTCAACCAACTGAGAAAATATTGATCTTTTCTGTGCCATAGAGTAAAGGCTGGATCAATAGAGGTGGTTTCCGTGCCCTCGGAGTCAAGTAGAAACTTGGGAGGACATGGTTCCGAACCATCAACAATGCCAAACAAATCAAGGCTTCGAAGGACAGGAGTAAGTTGAGAGACCCAGAGAAGATAATTAGTGTGATCTAATTTGATGGAAATAAGAGGAGCTAGATTTTGAGTAGTGAAGGGAGTGGTGATGGGAAGTGCACTGGAGGAAGACATAGTTGGATCGAGAGAGAAAGGTGTTTACCCAATGAGGGCTCTAATACCATGAAAGATTTGAGAGAGGGTTTGAAGAAAGTGCAGCTTGATGCTGCTGTTGCTGTATTCACTGATATATATAGGGTTGCCTGAGTAACGTGAGTTACATCAGATAACCATCAGATAAGAGTTTGTTACATCTGTACAGTTTAAATTTAAATTACAAATAAGATTGAAAACAGATCATCAATCTTCAACAACTTGATCAGCTTCTAACGACTTCTTATCACATATTTGAATTGGATCCTTATCTTTATCCTTAACAGTAACTGCTTGAGCTTTTATAAGCTCTACAAATTGAGGTAGGAAAAAGAACCACAACCGAAGAGATTCGAGAATTTTAATGATTTGTCTCGTGAAGAACCACAATTGAAGAATCTCCATTGTCATGAAAAGGTTGATGCCTAAATACAACTTTTTAGCTAATGCTGGCAGATGTAAGTTACGAAAAATTCATCATCTTATACATTTCGAGCAATACTATACTACTATAGTTTGCAATCATTAGCCACATTTATGTTAGCGTATTGCAATGTGTAAAGGTAATCGAGACGAGAGACTTTGTCGAGATTCACAGATCGTATCTAGTAGGGTGTCAAGATAGTCCAGGCAGGACCAAGCGCGTGCTAGTTCTGTGGGTCCATTTGAACAATGGAAAAAGTGGCCGATTGGGCTTAGCCTCAAATCCTAGGATCGTGCATAACCGTCCGGGGGTTCTCCCAAAACATGGCCAGGCCAGGCCATTCGACACCCCTAAATCACTGATATCAATGTTGGAATTGAAAGGGATTAAGTTTTCCATCAAAACTTTTATCAAACCATTTCACATGCATATAAATCCTCTATGTTGATATCAAAGAGAAGATTAGAAGCAGAAGCATACCTTGATCCATAGATGTGATTACTTAAGTGGGTTATGATCTTCCAATTGATATGTAGTTCCTTAGGAATTTTTCTCTGTTGATGGGGATGCATAGAGATAGAGAATCCACGTTCAATTGAGAACCACGACCCATGATATACAACTAAATTAAGTAGTTATTATCTTTCAGTTCTTTTAAATTGGTCCATCATCAATTTAAAATAATCGTTCTGGTCTCTACACTTTATTTCCATGACATTCAATAACCATTAGTCGAAAATTAACTTTAATGGATCACTTTATTGACTAATCTTTTAAATAGCACCACACATTTTAATATATATACATGTGTGGCCCCACACGTTGGAATTTTTCAACAATTTCCCACTGACCATACATGTAATCTTACAAATG